GCGACGTTTGCTTGCGGAAATTCAGTAGTACCTGAAGAGCAACTTGGATAGGATAAGTCAAGACTGGGATTGGGTAAGGCATGGGTCTTGATGTTGAAGCAGACATCAACCAAGTCAAGCTCCGTCTACGGTGGGCGACGCCTACGGAGTCGGAAGTAAGCGGTGCCAAGACAGGAACCCATGAAACGGTTGCAGGACAACACAAAAACCAGTGAAGAGCGGGTCGTTAACGAGCAGATGACTGAAGAGACACACACCCGCAATGGGCGGAGCGTACTCCCGGTGGGCGGGGATTCCCTCAAAGTTTATAACTCGATCCTGAGATGGTTGGAAGATTGGAATAAACATTTATAAACAGATTTCTTCTAAGTCAAACTGTTGACACACCTGAAAAGGACCGCCATTGACAATTTTTGATTCGAATTTACGATTAGATTCTATGAGGAGCACAGAGTTCGCATAATGCCGTAACATCTGAAAAAACATTTCCATTATTCGGCAGTCTCCCATGGGGATAAGTGCTTGTGAAAAATTTCACCTGTTCAGATTGCTTGAAAACTCGTCCTGACTGTAGAGACTGGGTCAGATCATCGAGAGCCTTCCGTTCAACAGCGATGCCTGGTGATAGCACATAGTCGCCTACCTGGAATGCGAAACGAATATGAGAGCAACAACAGTGACCTAGTGGCTCTTAACCCGTTTGGGACATGGCCACGCACTTAATTTCCATTCAAAATCAAATTAAGTTTGGCTGTCTGTTGAGCCTATGCAGAAGCTGGAATCAATGCTTCTTTCTCCTTAGTGACCAATTTGGTACAAGTTATCAGACCCTTCCCGAGAGTTTGTGCTTCAAAACCGATTCGAGGACAATTAATATGACAGCCGCGCCTTTTGGTATACGGCAACCCCTACAGCAAAAAAAAACAATAAGGTATGGAACTGAAAAGGATTCTCTATGGAATCGACACGGAAGCAGGATCCACAAGCAAATCGCCCGACAGACACGCAACACGCGACACCATCACCAATATGCCTAACCATAGTCGTACAAGCTACTTGCCTTTTCACGGCTGTAGAAGGTCTCATTGTTACCTAAGGTAGCGTACAGACTTCGAGACCGAAGCGCTGTCGTC